GGAGGAATGCGGGAGATGTTTGTGTGCAAAGCAACTTCACACAAGTTTAGGACAAGGTATGAAGTCAGTTATACTGTGCAGTGTAAAATGCAAACAATGTAATTTATAGATCCCTGTGGATACAACATCTGCATCTGTAGCTGCAAAAAGGAGCTGAGGCCATAAAGCAGATTATCTACAAATTAGCAGGGTTCTAGATTTAAAATTTTTATCTGTATCAGCAAAAATGAGCCCCGCTCACATCAGTAGATGCCTGTGTGTAGCAGGGTACACTTAGCGCCACCAGCCGTCGGTCCTGGGAATTAGCTCAGATGGCAGGTTGCGGGATCCTTTTCGGGACACTGCCCTCCGGCAGTGCCCACAACAGCCTCTACGCTGCCCCCCTTCTGGGGGCTGGTTGGTTGTAGGTCGGTAGGTCTTCGGGAGGAGATTCCTCCGCCTCTGGTGCAGTGGGCAGCTAGTCCGCCCCACTGCACTACTGTGCCTTAAAATAGTCCAAGTCAGCGAGTCTATGACCGGCCTTGCTTCAGGTCGGGGTGAGAGGCAATAGTTGGCGTGCCTGGCCTTGCTTCAGGTCTGGGCCGCAGGGGAAGAAGTTCACCATATATGCAAGTCTATCAGTTCACGTTTCTGGGCAGGGCAACAGTTCTAGTCCTGCCCCTTTAAAAGGTCCAGCCTGACTCCCGGCCGGCACCAAAGCACTGTAGGTAAGCCTGGGCCCTCGAGCAGGGCGGGGCAACAAAACACAAGGTGCAAGCCCAGGCCCTCGAACAGGGCGGGGCAGCAAACTCATTAAGCATGGCCGCAAACAAACACACAGGTTTGTAGACGCTCCTAGTTCAGGAGGTGGGCAGGTAGTGCACCTGCAGCAGTGGCGAGGGGGAGACTGCCACCCGGTTAGTGGGTGGCAAGGGGGGCGCAGGCTGTAGATCCTCTAGCTTGGGCAGGACCTCAGGGTCTCTGGGTGTCCACAGGCCTCGGGGCTTAAGCAGGACCTTCGTCTCAGGCAGGTCCTCAAGTTTACCAGGTACCAGCAGAGCCCCGGGCTCCTCTGGGTCATAGGGTAGCTCTGCTGGCCGGCTTGGCCAGGACTCAGCAGCCCAAGCAGGGCCGGCCCAAGGAGGGCCGTCTTCGCTGGCCACGTGGAAGGCGGCTGTGGGCGGCCCCAGCCAAGTTTCGGCCTCCAGGTCAGGGAGCTTAGTGCAGGCCTCTGTCTCCTCCAGAGTCTGGGCCCTGACTGAGCGCTCAGCCAGGCTTTTTATAGTCCTAGCCCCGCCCCTTGGCTTCCGGTCAGGTGATGGGGCGGGGCTAGGCTGTGCCCAAAAAGGCTTCTGGAGGGGTATTTTCTCCCTTCCGGTAGTGGGGGAGGTCTCCATCCCACTATACTGTGGATATAAAGCAGATAGCCACAGATTTGCAGGTCTCTAGTAACTTATCCAAATATCTAGTTGGGTAAATTGTAAAATCATCAGATTAACATACTTACTCTGTGAAAATTGCCATGTGGTGGTCGATATCTATAGGAGTTCCACGAGGCGTACAGCTAGTTCGGATTAGGAAGCCTAATTCGAACTAGCTAGTTTGTGCCGCGTGTAGCCGCGCGGCACGCAGTCCAAACTAGCCGGCATTTAAAAATGGCGCCGGCCGGCTTCATGCAAATGAAGCCCGGGAAATTCAAATCCCGGGCTTCATTTGCAACTCCGTATGACTACATTAACCCCCCCCCCCCCCCACCACCTAGTTCGAACTAGGGGGGTAGGGTAGACATACTCTTAGTGATTCAGGAGGAAAAGCGACAACTACTAAAACACAAATGATTTGTCATGCAACTACCTGTGTTTGACATCTCCCATACAAGTTGTGGCTTGAAATGATATGGCTTCAGGCATTGTACACGGATAGTTTATATGTATAGTTGGAGTTGCAAGGTTTAAATATTACACTGTTATTGACGAGGCAGCGGAGAGGAGAGAGAGGAAAGAAAAAATTTCCTAGAATTTGAAAATATCAATTGGGAAATCAAGATATTGACTGTCACACATTTGATTCTTTTCTTTTTATACATGAGTAGATCTTACTGTAACCACAAGAACATATTCTAAAGTAACAGACTAGAAATAATTATCTTGTTTTTTTTTTTTAAATGTTAAAGTATGATGTATGCGTATTCTAGTTTTTTCTGAGCCAGCCAAGTGGATTAGCAACAGAATAACAATTTGCTACTTGATTACCAGGGTTCAGGAGCATAATAGGAAATCCAATTTTTGTGGATAGTGCAGTTCATGGGAAGAAAAAAAAGCACAAAGCAAGACTTAGTTTGCCATTCTTTCAAGATAGGCTATTGTGAGTTAATTTACAAAGTAGTTCTGGAGGTGGTCTCTGAGGCTGTTTGGTTGGCCAAAGGATGAGTTCAGCAATCTTGGATGTGTAGTTTAAAAAAAAAAATACAAGGAAGCAAGCAGATCCTCAACTGAGGATTTGTTCCAGAGTGTGTGTAGAGAGTAGGGGTGGGCAAAATATGGCCCAAGGGCTGGATTTAGTGGCTTGGGAAACTAGCCAATGGGAGTTACCTATTTGCAAGGCAGGCTTAATGCAAATTTCCTTCCCTGCCCCCAACTTTCCTGCAATTGGCCACTCGGTGCAGGGAGTGGGGATGTGGAAAGCAGGGAGCCAACCTGAGGGACCTGCTGACCTACAGGCTGAGAGTTGCCTTGCCAAGCAGCTCCTAGCCACAGCCTGCCTCTGGCACCTCAGTCCCTTCCTTCCAACAATCCTCTGCCCCACCCTCCTGTAACCAGACCCCATGTAACCCAGATCTTCTGCACTTCTGCTCTTGTACCCAGACTCTGCACCCCAGTCTCCTGCCCCAGGTCACAACCCAAATCCCGGCACCCACTCCTGCCCTGGGTCACAACCCGCTCCTAAACCCCTCCTCCAGGTCAGAATCCTGTCCTGAACCTGTATCCATGCCCCTGCTGCACTCCAGTCCCTTGCCCCAGGTCATAACCTCCTCCTTCACCCAAACTCCCTCCCAGACCGTGCACCCTGTCCTACACTTGAATCCCCTATCCCACTTCTGCTCCCAACCTCCATCCCAGTTCCGACAGCTCCTCCATTAATATCATGGAAGAGTGTAATCCTTGACCACTTACCAGATTTTTTGAATGGCCCTGTCACTGAGGTGTGAGGTGTCACTGGGCCCTGCACCCTCTTCTCCCCCTCCCCGCTCCCATCCGCAGTCTGTGACTCTCAGCCAGCAAATAGAACAGAAGGTTTATTAGTCAACAGGGACACAGTGTAGAACAGACTTGTCAGCACAGTAACCAGAAGCAGCCAGGACAATCTGTCTTGGGGAGAGTGGCTCAGAGCCAAAGGCCCTGACTATTCTCCATGTACCCCAAGCCAGCAAGACTAAACCACACTCAGCAGCCTATCCCAGTTATGCAGCCAGCCCTGCCTCTGGCCTTTGTCCTGCTTCCCGGGCAAAAGGTCACCTGATCACACACCCCTCCCAGGCTCAGGTTACAGAAAGCATCAGCCATTGTGTAGGTGTGAAAGCTATCACACAGAAATTCCCATCACAATCTAGGTATTGGTGCAAAGTCCTGGGAAACTGAGGTACATGCACAAAGTTACCACGGGACAGGAGAAATCACAAGGGAACTAAAAACTCCATTTTGTCACAGGGTCCCTCCCATCAAAAAATGTCTGATATAAATCTGCTGTGGTTAACTTTGTGCTGAGGAAGGATTAAAGCTGTATTTTGAGAGGGAGCCTTCTGTGTAATTTTTAATCCTCTATTTATCTAGTACAAATATAGTCATACATGAGGAGTTTTAGAAACGTTAGTGTCTTTTCCTGAACAAGAAGTCAAGGAAGCTGCTATCCAATGAATGCCTCGTTCATTGTAAGCCAGTTTGTGTCTTTGCAACTATCACAAGTCCCAACATCCCTCTATTCCAGTAATCTCAGTCATGAAAGCTAGAGTTAATTTCTTCAGAAATAACTCAAATCTGAGTAAAATCACTAAGTCCTCTCCAGCTGGACGAGTAAGATTCCTGACCGTATGTGTCTGGACCTGGTTCTTTATGTGGTGATTCAGATTTCTGCTTAAAACCAGTTCTACAACATTTTCAGATACTCTTATAAGGCTTTTTAAATCCGATTTTATAATTTAATCTTATTTTGAGATTTTTTTTCCAGTACTGTTTATTGAATTTCAACTTTGGACAAGAAAATATCTATATAACAGTATACCCATGTATTTATTTTCAGAGAATATTAAAGCTGCAATTTTGAGAAACTTGAACTCCTCCCTCCCCCCAGTTTCTTAATAGTTTTTTTTATTATAGTCTTTTTAGGACTGAGGCACCATCTGGAGAGCTTTTGAGATCTATTGGCAATCTGTAATGCCACCAGAGCTTAATCTTCCCTCTGAAGTTAGAGGCTTAGAAATGCTGTAAGTCAGTAATGTCTTGACTTTCTTAGTTACAGTTAGGCAGTGAGCTATGAGCGCGTAGTTGTGTAGTATGCAAAGAGCCCAGCATTGCAATAGGATTTAACAGAAGTTCAGTTTGTCAGAAAGTGAAATTATACATAATGATGGTGAGGTGGCTAGAGTGAATAGATTTTGATAAAATATTGAGGGAAAGTCTGTCATAAAGTGCTTTATGTACATTCTAAACATTAACACTTCTTTGTTAAAATGGCAGGTACTTCCATAAAAATTTGAATAAGAACAGATGATAAAGTCATCATGGAGGGCTTTTAAATAAGTACATAAATGGCTGTGTTATGTAATATCTGTTTTGTGTGTGAAATTTTTTGGTACACAGTTCCTCCTACACCTGAACATCTAATTGCTGATTTTAAAGTTACTGCATTTTAAACAATTGTCATT